GTATCAACTCCCTAGGTAGGTTAAAACAATGTAGACTACAGAACCGTATGACTGTTATCTGCTGTGATCAAGAGCATGAATGAAAACAAAAGAATGTCACTTAAGTTTTATGGGACATGCGGCATGTGGCACATCATTCTAAGCTGTTGATTTATTGGACTAACTTAATGAGACGGTTTAAATCTTTGCCTTCATTCAGTGAATACATGTCCATGATACGTGCCGTCAAATGTTTCATTTAGCTCTATGTCAGCAGGTTGGACGCTGTTGGCTGTCGTGACTTGAAGACCCCACCCCCCCGCACTAAAAGAATGCCCGCCCCCTAAATAATGCCCCCCTCCCACTAAAATAATGCCCCCCTCCCACTAGAAGAATGCCCTTATTTAGAGGAACCCCCAACCTAGGAGAGGCCCCATCTAGGAGAACCAAAACAGACCGACTAGAACACAAGTTTGTAAACCGATCCTTTCATCTTTTCCTACGACTGGCCTAGAGAGCACTTTTATGATCTCTAAATGTCGCTAAAACTCAATGGTAGAGTTTCTAATGTTAAGATTTCTTTACAAGTTCACTGATACATTTCTTCTATTGATCTCTTGTATTTTGTCCTGATCTGGTTCGCCCTAGAACTTAATGTATCTCGCCAAGTGAATGTATTTCTCTAAATGAAATGTATTTCGTCTGATGAATGTATTTCTCTATGTGTATTTCTCGATACTAACATGCTGACATCTACATGTATTTTACCGAGAGATTCACTTTTCTAACATACGGACATCTACACAAGTTCCACACATTACTTGTTGAAACCTTCTGCGCCCTGAGCCTAGATATTAATAAAGTTGACCCATGCTTCTTTAACAAAGTTGACCCATGCTTCTTTAATAAAGTTGACGCATGCTTCTTTAATAAAGTTGACCCATGCTTCTTTAATAAAGTTGACCCATGCTTCTTTAATAAAGTTGACCCATGCTTCTTTAATAAAGTTGACGCATGCTTCTTTAATAAAGTTGACCCATGCTTCTTTAATAAAGTTGACGCATGCTTCTTTAATAAAGTTGACGCATGGTTCTTTAATAAAGTTGACGCATGGTTCTTTAATAAAGTTGACTCATGCTTCTTTAATAAAGTTGACGCATGCTTCTTTAATAAAGTTGACGCATGCTTCTTTAATAAAGTTGACCCATGCTTCCTTATAATGCTGGTTGACAGAGTATATCTGCCCACAAGTCTGAATGAGATTGAAGCCGTCTCAGACTTAGTGACATTCTTAATTGAATGTGCTGCTGGTGTACCCTATCGTATATCCTTCCATAGATGGACGGTGACTGTAATTTCTTCATCCAATTTTTCCCACAAAGATAAGACTCCTGTCCTGACAGTGGCCATTAGGTCTAAGTGTACTCTATAAATCAACACAATTAAGCCAGATTGGTACTGCAGTGTAAGGACGCAATTGTCGCAATTTTCTCCGAAAGGATCTATACCACATGGATAGCTAATCATTGGTTTACAATGGCATCAAAGGAGCGGGCCAGTCTTTGATGTCGGTGGAACAAACCGATTCGCCCATGTGAATTATGATCAGCTTGTTTGCCATGTTGTAAAACGGCCACCGCCGTATTCGCATCGACTCGGTATCGATAAAGTTGTTAAATGAGAACTGATACGGCCCACGCCTTATGTGGGCACCTATCAACTGATACGGCCCACGCCTTATGAAGCCATCTATAAGGCAAATATTGTTGATGCTCTTTTAGTTTGAACCTCGAAGACGGAGAGTAGTTCGCGGCAAAATTAAAGAAAAGGAACTTATCGGCTTGTGGTTTTTGAGTAAATACTAAAACTTCATTGTTCGTGTGTAGTCTCCCATTCATAAATCGTTTGTTCCGATTTACCCACTTTTCTTGTTGTTACGGTTTCGTTGACCTTGGCAAATCCACTTTCCTTTTGTAGTTGTAAGTTTTACAGTGGCGTGTTTGACAATTCTTGCGAATGTTCGGGATATCAGCAGTAGGGAGCAGTAGTGTGACGGGTCAGTTGTAGGTTAGATTAGTAGACTATATGTGGTGCTGTCGTGTCTATGTCGGGATGTCATATGTAGGGAGCAGTAGTAAAGCCATGTCTAGCCTCAGATAAAAGTAGACTATATGTGGTGCTGTCGTGTCTATGTCGGGATGTCATATGTAGGGAGCAGTAGTAAAGCCATGTCTAGCCTCAGATAAAAGTAGGCTATATGTGCTGCTGTCGTGTCTATGTCGGGATGTCATATGTAGGGAGCAGTAGTAAAGCCATGTCTAGCCTCAGATAAAAGTAGGCTATATGTGCTGCTGTCGTGTCTATGTCGGGATGTCATATGTAGGGAGCAGTAGTAAAGCCATGTATAGCCTCAGATAAAAGTAGACTATATGTGGTGCTGTCGTGTCTATGTCGGGATGTCATATGTAGGGAGCAGTAGTAAAGCCATGTCTAGCCTCAGATAAAAGTAGGCTATATGTGCTGCTGTCGTGTCTATGTCGGGATGTCATATGTAGGGAGCAGTAGTAAAGCCATGTCTAGCCTGAGATAAAAGTAGACTATATGTGGTGCTGTCGTGTCTATTCCAAGGCGAGATATATTTAATGTAGTTTCATATATAGGTTTAGCAGTCATCATTGTAACATTCACCTCAATGACGGAAGTTGTTCCAGAAAGAAGCAATGGTCTTTCTCTATTTGAAAAAATATGCCCGATTTAATATTAGGCTTGGCCTTCCCATTTGTACTAATCGAAAAAGGAATATTTGAAAACTAACGGCGTACAATTTTTATTCTCTAGTTTTCTTGCATGAATCCACATACCAATAGAGACCTGAGTATTTGGAACAGCCCATTGTATTCTGTGCTCGAGCAAATATTTATTGGTGTAAAATCTACTGCAGGCATTGTACATAGAGCTGTACACCACTGTGAAGTAAATACGGACATAAGTTGGTACAATAAGAGTACAATAAGGCCTACTAAAATACACAACTTACCATACATTTTCTCTTAAAAACTCAGCCTCCCATCCTTTAGGCTAATTTACTATTTATATTAAAATATAGAAGTCGCTTCAAAAAATATGATTTGCTTCTATGATTAACCAATCTAAAATGTAATAAATCTTTTCGTCGAGAAGAACGTTTCGAAAGGTTAAAATATTTTCCTGAAGTAAAGAAAAGTATTTTTAACGAAGTAATTATCAACGTCATGTTTAAGTAATATAATAGCTTAACGATGTTATTAACTATTTCAATAAACGAATTTATTTAAAATTGAATTATCGCGATGTTCTATTTCAAAAGATTGACTGTCAAATAAACCCATTTAAAAAGCTTCGATTACTTTTTTTTAAACAAGCAAAAATCTTCCGATAGTCCTAGTCTAGAGTAGCACTAAAAAGTTAGAATCTGTTTAACTTGAATCAAACAAAAAGAACCCAAACACCATCCTAAATCACCACTGATCTACGCCGGTTGTTGCAGTGTGTTGTATAGCTAGCAGTAGGGATCAGGTAGATCTAAAGGTAACTGGTCTATTGTTGCGCTTTAGAAAACACGGAGCTTTTACACTATTAGGAGACGGACTTTCAATGAGCTTTCACTAGCTAGTCCTTTGAAAGTCAGTAATCGATCCTTAAACCTTCACAAGTCATTTAAATTGTACATAGCCTAATTGTAAACAGATGTATCAATTGATATTAACTTAGTATATAAGTCAAAGATTCAATAACCGATGGCGGATCAACAGAAAAACCTTGGTTGCATGTAGCCCCATGTTAGCATGGACTTTTAAAGTAACAGTGTAATGTCTGGTATCGTAGCCAGCGGCTCTCGGTTTATTTCAGCGGAAATGTTGTCTCGTCCTTGTGACCTTTGAAGTGTTACTCCATCTTTCCTGGTCGTGGAGGGACGTACAGGTCACGTGTGGTCCTGCTCACTAGGCCCGTGTCTCTGGTCGTGTCTAGCCAGGCCATTCGTCGATTGTTAGTGCCTTGTTTTGTTTGGGTTCAAATCCTATTGGCTCACTTAAAGAGATCCGATATTTAATGCACCAAAACATGATTTTGTTCCTTTCTTTTTCCGAGTAGCCTTAAATAATAAAAAGTTAGTTAAATTAAAGCTGAATTTTTATTTTTAAATAAGCAAATGTTTTGACTTTGGTCACATTTTTATTTAAAGACACCAAACTAACTAATAACAAAATTTAGACCAAACTAACCAAAGACAAAATGTAGACCAAACTAACCAAAGACCTTTAATTTGTTTCATAGGTCCCTTCCTCTTATCCTGTTAGCCAATATGCTATTTTTAACATCAGCAGGCACAGATATGGCTTGTTGGCTGTCTGTTAAAGGGAGAATACCCGTCAGACGAGAATACCTCTCATTTCATTTCATGTTTTTTGTATTGTTACGGAAAATATTGTATTGTCAGTTCAATGTATTTACTTTAGTTCATATTTTGGTGAATACAAAACGGAATAATTGTACTGACTGACATTGATTCAAGCGTGAAAGTTCTCTCCGGTTCGCTAGTTTTAGATTTCTCAGATTTCTTTTCATCGGATTTTCGACGGATTTTTGACGAATTCCTACTACGCTTTGTAAGACTGGATTAATTAATTTAAATATTTAGCTGTGTATAAATATGTTTTTACCCTATATTTGTTTCTTCCATTTAGTTGAGTATAAAGTTGTCAGCCTTAAAACTAATATATTTCGTTTCTACTATTTAGTTGAGTATAAAGTTCATTGTCACCCATAAAACTGATGTTTTCTTTCTACTGTTTAGTTGAGTATAAAGTTGATTATCACCCATTAAACTGATGTATTGAGTTGAGTATAAAGTTGATTATCACCCATTAAACCGATGTATTTAGTTGAGTATAAAGTTGATTGCCACCCTTACAACTGATAAATTTAGTTTCTACCATTTAGTTGTCACCCATCTAACGTTGTACCATTTGTGTGTTCTGCAGTCAGTCAAGAGCAACATGATCACGGACTGCAAGTGCCACGGCGTGTCGGGTTCCTGTACCGTCAAGACGTGCTGGACCACCCTCCCGCCGTTTCGGGCTATTGGAGACGCTCTACGCAAACGTTACAAAAAGGCCAAACTCGTCGTCCCTTATCTGGGCGGCCGGACACGAAGACCTATCTCACTTTTTCTCAAACGGTCCAAACGGCCTCACCGGAAGCCCCGGCGTAGCCATCTTGTCTACCTGGACAAGTCCCCCAACTACTGTGATCACGACGAATCCACCGGCTCCCTGGGGACCATCGGCCGCTCGTGTAACCGGACCTCCAAGGGCCCCGACGGGTGCGACTTGATGTGCTGTGGGCGGGGCTACAACACGCACCAGTACGTGCGCGTCTGGCAGTGCCACTGCAAGTTTTTCTGGTGCTGTCGTGTCGATTGTGCTAAGTGTCAGAACAGGACTGAGCTGTACACGTGTAAATAGCTGGCAACCAGCACCATCACTACCACCGTGATCAGATACAACAGCCACCATCAGCACCACCGATAATAGACGACATCTACCACCAGCAGTGTATAGACTGGACTATATCAACTATTCGAATCAAACTTTAAAGCAATACTTATGCATTGTATGACATAACTTTCACCCCATCAACATTTAGTTGCCAATGTTTGGTTTCTGTATGGTATTTATTGCACGACATATTCAATCGTAAGCATAATCTTTTAATACGATCGTATCGTGTGTTGTTTTACGGCTGCCTTGTAAGCCGTATGTTAGCAGCCATTTAAAATGTGTGTAAACAATCATACATGCTGTCCTGGTAAAAAGCCATGTAAGATGTGTAAGCAGACATGTAAGCTGTCATGTGTTTAAGCTATGTAATCTGCCTTAAGACGCAGTGTAAATCAAAACTTGCCTGTTTTCTTATTTCACGAACTTGCCTGTAACATGACGAATCATTACTGTTGTCTTCACAGACTTACCTGTAACATGACGAATCATGACTGTCTTCACAGACTTACCTGTAACTTGACGAATCATGTTGTCTTCACAGACTTACCTGTAACATGACGAATCATTACTGTTGTCTTCACAGACTTACCTGTAACATGACGAATCATGTTGTCTTCACAGACTTACCTGTAACTTGACGAATCATGTTGTCTTCACAGACTTACCTGTAACATGACGAATCATGACTGTTGTCTTCACAGACTTACCTGTAACATGACGAATCATTACTGTTGTCTTCACAGACTTACCTGTAACATGACGAATCATGACTGTTGTCTTCACAGACTTACCTGTAACTTGACGAATCATGTTGTCTTCACAGACTTACCTGTAACATGACGAATCATGACTGTTGTCTTCACAGACTTACCTGTAACATGACGAATCATGACTGTTGTCTTCACAGACTTACCTGTAACATGACGAATCATGACTGTTGTCTTCACAGACTTACCTGTAACATGACGAATCATGACTGTTGTCTTCACAGACTTACCTGTAACATGACGAATCATGACTGTTGTCTTCACAGACTTACCTGTAACATGACGAATCATGACTGTTGTCTTCACAGACTTACCTGTAACATGACGAATCATGACTGTTGTCTTCACAGACTTACCTGTAACATGACGAATCATGACTGTCTTCACAGACTTACCTGTAACATGACGAATCATGACTGTTGTCTTCACAGACTTACCTGTATCATAACGAATCATGACTGTTGTCTTCACAGACTTACCTGTAACATAACGAATCATGACTGTTGTCTTCACAGACTTACCTGTAACATAACGAATCATGACTGTTGTCTTCACAGACTTACCTGTAACATAACGAATCATGACTGTTGTCTTCACAGACTTACCTGTAACATAACGAATCATGACTGTTGTCTTCACAGACTTACCTGTAACATAACGAATCATGACTGTTATCTTCACAGACTTACCTGTAGCATGACGAATCATGACTGTTATCTTCACAGACTTACCTGTAACATGACGAATCATGTTGTCTTCACAGACTTACCTGTAACATGACGAATCATGTTGTCTTCACAGACTTACCTGTAACATGACGAATCATGTTGTCTTCACAGACTTACCTGTAACATGACGAATCATGTTGTCTTCACAGACTTACCTGTAACATGACGAATCATGTTGTCTTCACAGACTTACCTGTAACATGACGAATCATGTTGTCTTCACAGACTTACCTGTAACATAACGAATCATGACTGTTGTCTTCACAGACTTACCTGTAACATAACGAATCATGACTGTTGTCTTCACAGACTTACCTGTAACATGACGAATCATGACTGTTGTTTTCACAGACTTACCTGTAGCATGACGAATCATGACTGTTGTCTTCACAGACTTACCTGTAACATAACGAATCATGACTGTTGTCTTCACAGACTTACCTGTAACATGACGAATCATGACTGTTGTTTTCACAGACTTACCTGTAACATGACGAATCATGACTGTTGTTTACTACAAGGCACCACATAAAAATCTGTGGGTTTATCACAGTAGTTCTTGAACTAAGTGCCACTATACACTAACCAGGCATGCAAAGATAACATACAACCTATGTATAATTTTTTTATATGTGCGCAGATGTTTTTCTTTTAGTTTTCATATAAATACACACTGTACAGCAATATATAATCTGTGAATGTGTGTAATTGAGATCAATTTGAGGTGTATTTGAAATGAGCACAAGATGAAGATGTAACATGTACCTATGCATTTAAACGTATTTAATTATGTGTGTACTGTGTCTTCACCCGCCGACTGTATGTAAGAGTTATGTCTGCTATCATTGGCTACTCCATCAACATAATCTCGTCTATTATGCTGAGCTCTGTATTTCGCTGAGTCAAAGCTTGACACGCACATTTGATTTACAAACTGATGGAGTGTTTTAAAAACTGACAACTGTTTTTTTTTTCACCCAATATTTAATGTGCGGGTTAGTTGAATGAATGGGATCCACGGGGTGTGAAGTTGTCCTGTGCTCGCGAGACTCAATGTGTGGTACAACCAGTCACGGTGAGGCTCCTCCAGCACCTTGCATGCCAGCCCCGACACAAAGACAAGACACCACCACCATCTTGTGCCAGCCGCGTCATTGGGAGTCGAGACAAAGAGACGCCACTTCTCCACCCAGCGTGGGGTAAGCTTCACGTCAGCTGGTATCTCCCAGGTCAAACGGTGCCGTTCTACATTCAATCACACTCAATTATAGGCAAAGAATGGCTAGCAAAAGTAAACGTTGGCTGGAGGCGTTAAGAGATCCGCGCTTCCCTCCGGCACATTGAAATCTTTCCTTTCTCCTGCACAGCAAGAGCTCCTCAATAGGCAGGCTCGCATCTCCTCCTATATATATATATATATATATATATATATATATATATATATATATATATATATATATATATATATATATATATATATATATGTAGGATCATAATCCCTGTATAGAAAATTCTAGCCAGTCACTGCATGTTTATTAATGATAAATGGTCATTATTTATGTATCGTGAATGTTGAAAAAGCAGAATCGATTGAGAGTAATAGCGTTGCTTGGGGGACGGCATTTCGGTGGTAATAGTAGATTTACTAAAAACTAGCTTTGGATCGCTTGGTACCTGTAGTCATCTGTGATGGTGTGGTGATTGTATCAAGAAAGTCACAGAAAAAAAAAAAAACACAGGAAGAAAAACACAGAAAAAAAGTCACAGGAAACAAAAATCACAGGAAAAAAAACACACAAAATAAACCGGGAGTGATGTCCCCTAAACTTTCTCGAATATTCTTATATAACTTGGAATATAGACATGATTTTTAATTACTTAAACTTTTAAAAATAGAATAGAATCTCATAGAAAAAAAGAATCGCGCACCAAGTGAACGCCAAAACAAAATGTGCATAATAGTGAGCAATATTATTAGTACTTTATACATTTACATGCGTTTTTTGAGAAATCGGAAATAGCGTAAATTAGTACTTCCGGTCAACGGAAATTACTCACAATTTGACAGAAGGTAGAGAATTAGATCTTTTACTTACATGTGAAATTTCATTGATCTATCTGAAATAGTACTCAAGTTATAGGCTTTTGAAATTTCGTTTATAGTTAACACTTCTAAAGCCCACTTAACTAATTTCATTATATAAGTTGAGGTTGCTGTGTAAATTACGTTATAGAATTTTTACGTAGTGGTGTTATAAACAATAATTCTATTAAAGTTTATAAATATGCTACAAAAAAAATCCACATCAATAAGCACTGAAAATTTTACAATTCTTAATATTTAAAATCAAATTATTTATTAAAAGATTTTTGTGACTTTTTTCTGTGACTTTTTTTTCCGTTTACCGGTGTGGTACCGTTTGGATGGTATGAAACTTCACACAACAAATTAATTTAGTTGTCTGTTTCTCTTATGTTTGAAACCATTTGACAATTATCCACCATGCTAAAATTGCGTAGACAACTTATTTTGGGATGACCACTAGACCACTGGATAAGACCACTAGACAGACCACTAGATAGACCATTGGATAAGACCACTAGATAGACCACTGGATAAGACCACTGGATAGACCACTGGATAAGACCACTAGACAGACCACTGGATTAGACCACTGGATTAGACCACTGGATAAGACCACTGGATAGACCACTAGATAGACCACTGAATAAGACCACTGGATAGACCACTGGATAAGACCACTAGACAGACCACTGGATAAGACCACTAGACAAACCACTAGACAGACCACTGGATAGACCACTGGATAAGACCAGCTGTTGAAGGACTATTACATTATCTGCCTCTGCATAAATATCTGAATTTTTCTGTTTTTCTCTATATGCAACGGGTCTAGACATGCACCGACCTTATTCAACTGCACAATGCAATGCTACAATAGTTTGTTTCTTGCAGTCTTAAAGTAAATGGTTTTTATGAAGATGTATAGGAGGTTAACTGACGTTTATTCGCTGGATACGTTCCTTCAACATTTTTCTTTTTTTTTTTTAAATATAATATTTAATGTCAATGTACAATTATATGTCATTGTAAAATTGAATGTCAAGATTAAACCGAATGTCAATGTAAAATTGAATGTCAAGATTAAACCGAATGTCATTGTAAAATTGAATGTCAAGATTAAACCGAATGTCAATGTAAAATTGAATGTTAAGATTAAACTGAATGTATAACCATCAAGAAAACTGTTGCTTTATTTTTAACATTTTAAGATACTTTAGCAGACGGCTGAACTCCTGAAGGACATGTATTGAGTGGGGGAGTCTTGTGATTGGATCAACTCTTACGTATAAAAACTCATGTTCGACCTAAACAATTTTTGACATTTTTTTTTCGACGGTAGAGGACAGTTCTCTTAGTCCTGACGACACAAACCACCTGTCCTGCTCATATAAATAACGCCCCCCCCCCCCCAGCTACCACAACTAACGACTTTGTTGTTTTAATGTTGTATAGTTTTCTAAGTGAAGCTCTAGTTATAAGTGTAGCACAGATTGTAGGAAAAAAAGTCACAGGAAAAAAAAACACAGGAAAAAAAAACACAGAAAAAAAGTCACAGGAAAAAAAGTCACAGGAAAAAAAGTCACAGGAAAAAAAGTCACAAATATATATTTGCATGATATTTGTTAATACTTTTATGTATTAATATTTAGAGAGTGCAAATTAACTTAGGATTAATTAAATTTAATGTAATGTGTGTAGGCTGTATACGCATGGGAATTTTTATAATTCATCTAAAATTATTTATTATGAAGTATGTAGATTGTAATTATTTTAAACTTAAGATTAGTAGCATTTAATAGAATGCTCCAAAGTCCACGTTTTTCATCTTGTTTTTTTTTAAATACCAATATTAAATTACCGTGAAATGTTAAG